GACTCGATGATCTTTGAGGTCTTTTCCAACCTCAATGATTCTATGATTCTATGAACTGCATTCAGTGGTTATCTTCATAGTACTGATGATTTACAGAAAGATGTTTAGTTTTCTAGTTTCCACATATTCGACATGCCACTGATAACTCCAAATACTTCCATTCTCTCTTTGCTCTGTAAAGCACTAAAATGAGCTAGTTACCACCATTAAATCAGTAGTCTACTTTTCATAATGAAAACTACAAAAGCAGACAAAAATAGAAACTTGTTTTTCCTCATAGATACAAGTATGTCTTCTTAACAGTATATTATTTATCTCCAAAAAAACCATTTCACTGTCATTCACATGAGAATCTGGCTTTGAATACAACTAAGCTCTGAGAATTGTTACTGGTGTAATATTTTTCCACCAAAAATCACCAATTTATCAAGACTGAAATGATCCAAGACAACGTGCCAAAATTTTGTAAAATGTTCACTTAAAAACTTAATGGAAATATTTTAAGAATAGTGTTTCACTTTCCTACTTTAAAATTGATTTTTAGTATTTTAAACTTAGAAATTTTTAAATTCATAACAAATTACAAATTTCTGTTGCCACTTGAGATTTAAAAAAAAAGACATCTTGAAATTTTGTTTACTTTTTCTTCCAGGGGCCAGCTGAATAGATACCTACTTTTGCTTGCAATGTTCTTTGTTTTTCATGGTTGAGCTCCTGCAAAGCAACATATCAGGAATGTGCATTCCTAAAACTTTTCTAGGCTTAAGCAGAACTGGAGTATGGTCAATTGTTTCACTCCCTGGTATTTTAACATTATTGAAACATCTTACTGACATATTTGCTTAGCAAAACCCAGTCTAAAATCCCAAACAGGCTGTCACTCTTTTTTTTGTGAGCATACTTATTTGAAATACTATGTTGAGTTGTTCAATCCTTGTGTTGCCATAATGGAAAAGTTAGAGGCAAGTTTTTTTTCTTCCTAAAAAACAGACACCAGATATTCTGAATTTTGTCTGATAGAGTCCTGTTGTGGTAAGGGAATGATTTAGATGAGGTTTTCTAGTTGTAATGCATTTCATGGGTAAATTGTCAGAACTAGACACTTAAGTTTTGACACTCCTTCCCCTCCCTTTCACACGAGTGCTCATGTGTGAATTCAGACATTTAAAATCCAATTTCTGATAGGGTAGTACTTTAAGCACCACCAGGGATTTTAATTCTACTAGATCTTTGCCATTTATCCTAGCTGTTCAAATAAAAAAAAAAATCTAGGCTTTACAGATTAAAGTAAATCAGATCTAGCCTCTACAACTGTGGCATAGGCTACTAATTATTCAAATAAGAAAATCTTTAATGTACCTACCTTTCTACTCATGAAGATATAGATGACTGGATTATAAGCAGTGCTTGACTTGGCAAAGAAAGATGGGATGATAGCTACTGTTGGAGTTACAAGGTTGCTATAGCCATATGTTACCAGGAGGGAGACCACTGCATAGGGCATCCAACAAATAAGGAATATGGAGATCATTAAGAAACACATTTTAGCCACCTTCTTTTCATACTTTAGAAGTTTGATCATTTGAACAGTCTGGAAATCTTCCACACAGCAAAGCTGTAGAAGAAAAAAAAAAAGATAAAATGGTAAAGTAAAATAGCTCTATGTTTTACTTGAAACTGAATAGTTCTAAGTTTATTTCTAAATAACTAATTTGACAATTTAGTTTTAGGCACAGACACTATACACCTTATCTCGTGAACCACAATTCTTCTGGAAGTTTACATCATGCTTCCTAGACTTTTACTGCTTATATTAAATGTAAAAATATGATCTGAGGAGAAATAGAATAGCAAATCTACTGGAAAACAACAAATCCAGTGATGTAACAAAACATGCCACGCTTATCATTGTAAGTATTTTAGAAAACCAACTTGCCCTCATCCACTGGCATAAGCAAGTTCAGTTCACATTTAGTGGTCCTTTGTCTGACTAGTTAGACAATCCTGTAGATTTGTCTCATCAGCAATCTTTAGAGAGAAGAAAATTTCTTTAATAGATTTCTCCGTACTGCTCTGCCACTTAGTTTGTTATCCTGAAATTATGAAATCTCTGTTTAGAGCAGAATACTAGGCAGCAGGTTCCCAGTGTCGTCTGGGTGAGTCATAAAATGAGGAAAAGACGGGACATGTACATGAGTGTTCTCCGTAACAGTTATCGGCTGTGCCAATACTGTTGACCACAAACTTGAATGGGCCCAGACTAATTACCCACAGAATATGAATCATTAACACTTTCTGACACTGAAGATCCGAATTACAATGGGTTGCCTTAACATGGAAAACTGGTTTAACAGGGCCTAATCTCCACTTGGAAGATTTTTACAGGGTTATCTTCTCAAGAGTTGCAAAGAGGAGAGAGGGAGTTCCTTAATCAGGAGAACCGCAAACAGTCTCTTCTTTTCCCCGTTTCAAGGGAGGATCTGATGTGGATTAGTGAGTGTGAGCAGCTCCCTAACCTGCCTCCCACTAAAACTACACAACAAATAGACCATGGTAGCTCTAGGTTGGTTTTCCTCCAACCTTACATCCTTTCTGATAGTCCCTGACATGGATGAATATTAAACATTCAAAAGTTTGAATAGGAAGTGAAAGTGCAAATTTAGGCTCTGATTCAAGCTTAATATACAGCATCAGCAGTTTTCACTGAAAATATTACATTAAGTCTTTTATTTGAATCAACTTACCATTCTTACTGCATATAGAATATGGCCATAGCAATAGGCCATGATCCCAACAGGTGCTACTAGACAGCTAAGGAAAAAAAGGAGCACAAAGGAGGTATCATTGGGGTCTTTCGACTTCCAGTCCACTGAGCAACCTAAGCCATGAATTTCCAGCGTGTATCTGTTCCAGCCCAAAAGAGGTGCTCCAGTCCAGGCTAATGAATAGAGCCAGATGTATGTGATAGCCCGCCAAGACCAAGAGAAGTCAATCACTTTTGCATGGACTACTCGAATGTAGCGTTCATAGGCAAGAACAGTGAGAGTCATAATTGAAACAATTCCTGTAAGAAAAATAAAAAAATAAATCATTCACAAACATTGCAAATTGGACTGAAGTCCTCTTGATAAGTGTTTCCTTTGCTAGCAGGTTAACTCAAAATTAGCTAGCTCATATTATGAATCTAACACTAATAAGCTTTTTGGGTGACACCCCACTACTCACTAACTACTAACTCAAACAGTATCACTAGCTTCAGAACTACTCAGAGCAGGTGCTGGAATCTGACCCATGATGTACGATGGCCAAGAAGTAGGACAAGAAAAAAAGAGACCAAGCTAATACTTTTCCCTAAACATTACTTCACTAAGAGAGATCGTGCTACAAGAGGTGTTTTTTTGTTGGCAATTGTTGTGAGTTTTTTTTGTTGTTTTGTTGTTTGGGGTCTTTTTTGGTTTGGGAGGGTAGGGTTTTTTAAAAAAGAGAAAAAGCTGCTATATAAAAATGATATAATTAGCAATAACAAAATGTGTTAGAAACCTAGAAATTCAGAGTTGAGACTGAAGTCAAAGAAAGCCTTCCACAACTGAAAGCACAGAAATGCACCTTTAATGTGAACAAAATGACTAGGAGAATTCCAACTTCTTTCAAGATTTCCTGTAAGTCTTTGTATTCCAAAGAACAACCAGGAAAGCAGAGTGTTACATTGCTGAAGGAGTCCCATCTGGAAGACATTGGGTTAAGTGGCCTCTCCTACCTTGTTGCTATCATAAAAATATCATAGTCTTCATTTCAGTTATTTGTGTACTCTTCCTTTTCTGTCCACCTCAACCCTACTACACACTTATTAACATGTTATGACAGAAATCACAGGTTATTTTCAGCTCTCAGCATTACCCTATCAAGACACTTATTTAATGAAGTCAAGGCAATTCTGTCTTGATTAGAATATAAGGATTTCTGTTTCAATGGTCTGTGAAATTTAATGATTAAGAACCAATCTGCTCATCACGCATGTGTCAGTCACCCGAAATCTGTTACAATTCAGTCAAGCCCATATACACAGCCTCTTAAACAACACAAAAGGGTGTATTTCACAGCACTCTGTGAGGTTATACAAATATCTGTGTCTAAATTTGTGTACACTTTATCTAATAAGAAGTACAGGTATTTGTTATGCATACACACAGCATTTCATTTCTTCAAGTACATTCATATTTGGCATAACATGCATTTATACAGCTGTGATAAGGTTAAACATGCTGATTTCACTGCCAAAAAAAGAATAACCATTATATCCAGCAGAAACCTTCAAAGGTTATCACAGATATCTGATCTCACTTTAAAAAAAAAGATAAGCATTCAAGGAAGACAAATTAACAATAGCACGCTCAATCACCAGCAACATGGATTTTAGTAAGGCAACTAAGAATAACAAAACCTAGATAAACACATAGCCTCTGTCTCAAGGCATTCATCAGCAAAACCAGCATACTATTAACCTCATATCTCACAGAAGGATATACTTTAAGATCTCTGTAAGAAAGTTACTTTATCCTGCAAGTATTAGAAGATCCCTTTTACAGGTGATGAGTTTAGAAAGCTTTCTTGATTAACAGGAAGTATTTCCCACTCTAAATGAAAACATGCCACATTCTTGTCGTGGCTCTCTTTGAAATGAAACAATGAACTTTTCTGGGTTTTAATATGTACATTTTTTTGCCAGTGTTATCTTTAAGTCTTCATCACAAAGAAGTAGATATTGCTGGACATGCAGAAGGCAAGGCAGACTACTTTCACAGTTAGTTTTGTGGGGTTTCTTCTTGTATAAGTTATTGCTTTAGGAATTTTGTTTCTATGGCTTGAAAGAGAAATTAGACTAGCAAATGTGGACCAGAGGGTTTCCAGAACACTTAAGGTTTGGTTGGGTTTTTTTTTTTTAAATGAAGTTGATAGGAAGTCCTTCATGCCCTTTTTCAGGACCTACCATGCTGAAAATAGATTGAAGAATGTGGATCTATGCAAGATCTTAGCAGGAATTAGAAAATAATTACAGAATTATATAGGTACTATTCTACACTTATACTAGCTCAGGTAAATGCTTTGTACAATCAAATGCAGTCTACTTCCTGAAACAAAGTAAAGGCAAGAAATTCACTTCCCATTTCTCTGTGCCCAAAGACTAGGAATTACAAAATTTTACCTGATGGTTATTAAAATCATCCACAGACATGTTTATGGAGGAAATTCACATCACTGAACTGTAGGCTCAGTTTGCTTACATAGTGCACTGAGGCTTTGCCTGTGATCAGTGGATAGAAAGAACAGCTCCTCAGGATGATGAGTCAAAATTCCTAAGTTAACCCCTTGCTCTTTACCACCTTCCTTCTCTCCCACTAGAAGCTCAGGGAAACCAGGTGGATAAATAAGGTACCTACAATGGTATTCAATGACTAATGTCCCTGTGTACTCTTACTATTCCCCATCAGTTTTTATACGAGTACTGAATTCTGGCCATGACAAAGTAATCAAAAGCACACACACTTGGTTGAAAGTACAGGTGTTCAGAAGCAATAATTTACTGAGTCCTTGACATTTTCAAGGAAGTCATTGGAAGCTCAATATCTCTAAAACTTTGTACTCACACATAGATCTTTGAACAGTTTTCGCTCAAGCCCTTTTCAGTCTGAAACCAGTGCTCTTTCAATGGATACTTGAGTTTTCTACCCAAACCATAAAAGGGAGCTTGGTTAGCCTGTTGGACAGCATGTACTGAAATGCAAATCCCTGTTCTGTTGGTATTCAGGAAGTGTCTGGTAGCATGTAGGCATGAGGCAAGAAGTTCAGGTCACAGCATGTTACAGTAAATTTGTCTCTGATGCAGGATCTCTACTGTAACAAGGTCATAGCTATAAGAGCAGAGGTTGAAGTAGTTAACCATAAAAATAGAAGTTTGATGCAAAATATCCTTGCAGGATAAGACAAAATGTAGGGAATTTTGTCCAAAAAAGCCCCTCGTGCTGTGGAGCCATGGCTGCCCGTGTATTTGTGATATGCAGAAACACCTGTAAGAATAGGAATACTGAGATCTGCCCTAAGGAGATGAGTTTTAAAAATTGTATTAGAAACAAAGTCCGTAACTAGGGGGAAAAAAAAAAAACCACTTTAATTCTCAGGGAGGGTGCTGCAGATAATGCTGTTTGAGAGTCATTTGGGTTTTGTTGTTCTTGTTACTTCTACAGTGGGCTACATGACAGAGGAATTCATAAGAAAACAAAATTTCAGTGTGTTCCACGGGTAGAAGCCACGTTGCAAGTGTGCATCACGTCTAAGTAAACATGTTTTTAAATGGACAGATAAGCACCTTTTAACTCTCAGATGAGGGATGACCAATAAACTACTTTTACTGAATGCGCTGAATTGAACTACAGACAGCATCTCTCAGCATTCAGACATTACTGAGTGGAACAGAAATAGCCAGAGGAACAACTGGGTAGTGTCATCAGCATTTCAGAAGCAATTTAACTCACAGGAATCCAAGATTGCACTGCTTTTTTTGCTCTCCCCTCCTTTAATGTTACAAAAAAACCCTATGGAAAACACTGTATGAAATACTACTATACTCCCATAGAATGTAAATAACTTTTAGAGCTGTAAATTTCATTGTCCATCTTTTTAATATACAAATTCTATAGAGTAACTCTCACAACTTAAGTTGAGATTCATTACTCCATAGGAATTAGTAGTTCTTTTTTAGAACTGTTTCCATGACTTAACATTAATATCTTTATTAATGTACTGTAAGATTTTATGCCTTTTTTCAAAAAGAAATAAAGTTTGCAAAAATCTGCACACGATAAAACTTATTTTGACTTTACTGTGTAAAGTCTGTGTAAAAGGTTAAGCTTGTGATTTCAAGGTTTCAAATGTTACTACTACAAGTTGTATAAGCCCTCAAAATACAAGCAGCTGCACAACTCTCAGTTACACCACAAACTGGGGAGCTCTTGCTTTTGATAGAAATAATGACTAATTCTTGGCAACAGTTTTCCAGCTTGTAAAAGCTGCAACTATTTATTTTATTCCTAACTCTAAAATATAAAAAAGTTCTCAGTAGAATCTTCAAAACTGTCATAATGACTTAGGAGTTATGTTCCACTAAAAGTCAGTGGAGCATAAGGTCCAGTTTTGCACTGAGGGCAGGGAGGGGTCCTTGTTTTTTAATAGGACTTCAGTACAGGCAAGGGCAAGACTAGAGCAGAAAACAATGAATTTTCCCCACATTATGCATCTTTTCCATTCTGGATCAATATGCAATCAAAGCACATTTGATATTTCTAACAAAAACTTTGAGAAAGAAGAAGCACAGATTAGCTCATATAACTAGAATAGCCTCATGGATAGACCATTAAAGTATGAACTGACTTTCATATCTATGAATGATCTGCAGCAACGACTGGAAACCTTATATGTTATTTGAGTTTCTCAACTATTGGGAATTTCAGGTATTCTGTGTGTGCACTTTGTGGCAACAAATTTCATTATTAAGCTGCAAAGCCATAAAATGCCCAAGGGTCTCATACAACTCTAAGTAGCGAGAGCGGGAACATGCCTGCCACCTCCGCACTTAATGATACAAACTAGTAACACTCACAGTACAAAAATCGTGAAAAAGTCCCTTCAAACTCAATGCGCCAGTCAGTGTGCAACATGCATTTTGACAATCTGCAGTTTTTTTCCATATGCTAATAGCACTGTCAAGTTCCAACCAAATTTCTACAAAAGACAAAATAAAAAAATATTTAATGAGTTACTTATATTTTATTTGGGCAATTACCTATACCTCCTCTGCACTGATCCGAAGGATGGAAAATTTCTTCTCAAATGAGGAATCTCTAATTACATGAGAAGTGGGGAAGGGAGAACTTATACATTTTTGGTAGGTAAAATTAATTCAGATGGAAATTAGCTCTGATATCATGGGATGGTTTCAAGCAGCAGTTGTGATATATTCAACATCCTAGAGAGTACTGCTGGAACTTTACAGCTCTTTATTATGATAAA